AGATGAGAATTAATGGGCAATTGAATGGGTCATGATGGATGTAGGGGGGGGGGCGAACCAAGAGGGTATGGGGTTACAAAGATTTTATTTACTCCGTTATGTAAAATCTGACCTGAACGGTACGCGCTTTTTCCCTCGAACGGGTCCGAATTGGGATCCGTTTGCGTTTCTGGAATCAGACAGTCAAACGAATTTAATGATATGATCAAATAATTTTTCCAAGAACTTTTATTTTCCCCAACTCCGGTCCGGGACAGTAATTAATTATTTAAAATAATCAATTCTATCAGACCGGGTTGCAGGGCGTTACATTTTGCATCGAATTTACCCAAGTTATCTTTTTCCGTTATTGTGAACAAAACATTTGCAACCAAAGAATCGAAGATGGCTCGGTTTAATGACGGCTAATGACAGCTCGGTTTAACCCGTAGCTCGCGGTACTCATGGCATCCGCCCAAAAATACTTAGGAATTTTTGCCTCATCGAGCATAGTTCTAGCCATCTCCTCGAGACAACGATTTTTATGTTCCACCACGCCATTTTGTTGTGGTGTACGTGGAGCGGAGAAGTTATGCTCGATGCCTAGTTCGTCACAAAACTCGGTAAAGAGATCTCGTTCAAACTCTCCACCATGATCGCTTCGTATGGCTACAGTGGTTAAGCCTTTTTCATTTTGAACCTTTTTGAGAAAAGTTTTGAAAACATGAAATGCCTCAGTTTTGTGAGTTAGAAATAATGTCAATGTGAATCGAGAGTAGTCATCAACAATCACAAAAGCGAAATAGTTTCCCCCAAAACGTTTTGTTCTTGATGGTCCAAAAAGATCCATGTACAAAAGTTGTAGGGGCCTTGTTGTAGACACAACATTTTCCGATTTAAAAGAGGCCCTTACTTGCTTGCCCTTTTGACACGAATCACAAATGGTATCCTTCTCAAACTTGAGTTTTGGAAGGCCAACTACTAGGTCTTGTGAAACCAATTTATTCAAAAGGTTCAAGTTGACATGACCTACTCTACGATGCCATAGCCACATATCGTCCTCCTTACTCATGAGACATTTGGCAAAGTTGGAGGGAGATTCATCTAAGTTAACCATATAAATGTTATCGATTCTATCACCACGAAGAATCATCTTATTGTCACTAAGACGTTCTACCATGCATGATTTAGAATCAAAGATCACACGATTTCCCTTGTCACACAATTGGCTTATGCTCAAGAGATTGTGTTTAAGACCCTTAACTAATAACACATTATCAATAGAGGAGGTTTCGTTTTTACCAACCGAAACAATGCCGATTATTTTGCCTTTGCTATTATCCCCAAAGACAACGTTTCCTCCTTTAGTTGGTTTGATTTGCAAGAACTTGGATGCATCTCCGGTCATGTGCTTGGAGCATCCGCTATCAAGGTGCCAAAGTACACTTGATGCCTTCAAGCACACCTACAAATCAATTTAAAAAGATTTATGTACCCAATTCGTTTTGGGTCCTTGGGCATTAGGTGCACGTTGGTAGTGTGATTGGTTTCCAGTGCAATGCCTATGCCTAGTGAAGCAAACCGGGGCTATATGTCCTACCCTATTGCAATAATGACAAATAACATTTGGATTATGCATTCTCCTAGGTTGATAATAGTTACTAGGTTTTCTATATTGATTGATCCTAGTTTGAGAAAAGTTTTGTTTATGCATATTTATAAAATTGTTTCTAGGTTCTCTAACTTGACCATTATTTATCTTAGTGTTCTTTCTAGGTGGTCTAGTGTTCTTAGTTGTTCTAGGTTGTCTATTATTGCTCATTTAATTTTCCTAGATTGAGCCTTAGGTTGTTTAGGTTGTTGCTCAACCTTTTCCTTATTATTATTATTAGTTTCATTCTCAAACCCTAAGCCATGTTTAGTAAGTTGCAAATTGTAAAGAACAAAAAAAAATGTAAAGAACATCATTAGGATTTTTTTGAGAAACACCAAACTTCTTCAAGGTTCCTTCAAGTTTTGCAACTTGTTGCTTAAGTGATGTACAAGAACTACATTTTGAACTTTCCGGTTTGTCGGCGCTTCTTTTTCCAAGAAACTTATTTTCTTCTTTAAGTTTTTCATTATCTTTTGATAGTTTATCAACTTCTTTCTCCATGTAAGTAAGTTATGTTAGGAAACGAGGCTTATATAACACAGCGGAAAACAAAAATTTATAGTCCAAAACTCGATTCCACCCAAGAACAACTTACGTAAATTACTAGCTATAGTAAGAAATTTACCTTAACGGTGAAAACGGAGAACGGAGGAACGGTCGGGGATGGTTTTGAGGAGATGAACGTAGCGCCAAACGTATGAAGCCTCCAACGTATCCACACGAACTTGCTCCGTAGTCCAAGATTAAACTTGTGCTAGCAAGTTTAATATAGGATAGTAAAAACTATAATAATACTACTTTGGGAGTAATAAATATATAGTAAAATATTTATCTTATAAATATTTCTTTATAATATTTTGTGTATATTTCTAAAACTTTAGAAAAATAACTTTGAACACAAAATAAGATTTTTCTTCTCTCTTCCTTGTGATGGCCGAATATTACCACTAAAATGGGGTGGGATTTATTTCATTTTATAATTAATGTAAGATGCCATGAAGCTTCCTTGAGACATTAAATTGTGATAATGAATTAATCAAAATGCAATGTCTCTAACCACCATAACAAAACAAAATAGAATCCCTACATCAAATAATAATCAAATATCTCAATTTGACATTAAAAATACTTTATGTAAAAAATCAAATGGTCTTGGATTTTTCCTCTTAAAATTTTCGGTCATCCCATATTTGAAATATATCATATTTTATTTTTGACATCAATAATTATCATATAATTAAAATGATGAAAAATAAAATAATATATATATACACACACATTCGGCGCTACATATATATATATATAATAAAAAAAATTTTGTCAAAATATAATTATCATATAATTAAAATGACACAAACAAAATATAATTTTAAAATACATATGTATTTTCAAAATACATACATAGATATATATATATATATATATATATATATATATATATATAT